TTTATTGAAAAGTTCATACCCACTGACAAGCACGTTCAGTCTCTCTCTCTCTCTCTTCTGGAATTTAATTTTTGTTCCATGGTCCTACTTGTCTATCCTCGTGTCAATAACACATTGCCTTATTTGCTGTAGCTTTATAATGTCTTGGTATGGACCAGGGATAATTCCATCACCATCCTCTCCCCTCCCTTGTCCTCCTTCAAGGGAGCTCGGCTAGTCTCAGCCCTTTGCACTTCCATATAAATTTTACGTTCAGCTTATCCAGTTCCAAAAACTACCTGTGGTGATTTTGATCGGGAGTACCTTGAATCTATAGACCAATTTGGAGAGAATCAACATAGTTTCAGTACTGAATCTTTCAATCCATAATCATGGCTTAACTCTCCACTCTTAGACCTTCCTTAATGTCTCACGATAAAAATTTATGATTTTATCTCATAAGAGCTTTGCACATTTTCATTAGATTTATTCTTAGGTACTTTACATATTTTTATTATGTTATAAATTATATCTTACTTTACTTCATTTTCTAATTGTTTTTTGCTGGCATAGAGAAACACAACTTTTTTTGTATATCGATTTTTTTAATCCATCAATTTTGCTAAATTCTCCTATTAATTCTAATAAATAATGTGAAGAATTTTTTGGATTTTCTACATAAAATCTGAAAATAATGACAGTTTTATTTATTTCTAATCTTTTTACCTTTATTTCGTTTTGTTGTCTTACTGTCTAGGACGGCACTGTCCAATAGAAATCTGATGTGAGTCATATATGCTGGCCACATGTATAATTGGAAATTTTCCAACAGCTACATTAAAAAATTACAAGAAGCAAGTGAAATTAATTTTTCATGTAACCCACTATATCAAAAATACTATTGTTTCAATATGTGATCAATATAAAATTATTAATGAGACATTTATGGTGTTGTGCTTTTTTTGTACTAAGTCTTTAAAATCCAATGCGTATTTAATTTTATTCTTACATCTCAGTCTGGACTAGTCACATTTCAAGTTCCCAGTAGTCGTAGGTGGCTAGTGGCTACCATACTAGACACAGCTCCAGGATATCGGTGCTGTGTTTACTGGAAATGGGATTGCAGTCATCCTTGCCTTGTGACCGATCTCAAGGGGAACGCTTTCAACATTTCACCATTAAGTGGATATTTGCTGTAGGTTTTTTGTCAATACCTTTACTAGGATAAAGACATTCCCTTGTATTCCTAGTTGGCTACAAGTTTTAAAACAAACAGATGATGAACTTTTTCTTCTATGGAGATGACTATCTCTTTCTCCTTTAACCTTTAATGTGGTGAATTACATTAACTGATTTTCAAATGTTAAACCAACCTTGCATTTCTGGACAAGACCCAATTTTGTCACGATGTATTATCATTTTTACACACTGTCAGATGTGGTTTGCTAATGTTTTGTTTAGGATTTCTGTATCTGTATTCATGAGTGACACTGGCCTATAATTTTATTTATACTATACTTATAAAAAGGATTGGGGAGAGTCCCTCTTTTTCTATTATGTGGAAAAGTTGGGGTAAGACTGGAATTATTTCTTGGTTAAATAACTCACAGGTGAAGCCCTCTGGGCCTGAGTTTTCTTTGTGGGAACATTACTGATGAACGATTCAATTTCTCTAATAGCTATGGGGTAGTCTGATATTCAGCCGATGCCACAGGACTTCTGGTTGATGAAATAGTTTCATACCAGTTGGTACACAGCCACCACTCCCAGCCTCCTAAGTGCAATACCCCCTCCCTGGCTGCCCCAGACTCCCTAGACCTTCCGATGACATATAGATCAAAGAGTTAATGCCTGGCATAGCCAGAGGCCTCCCGGGCTCTGCTCAGTGCTAAGGCTGGCACCTGTTACGAATGCTCAGTGCCCGGTTGTTAATTACTTTGGTATTATGACCAGGGATGGTGCTCATTCAGGATTTCTCTTGAATTAGTTTTGGTAAATTATATTTTTCTAGGAACTTTCCTCTTTCATTAAAATTTTTAAGCTATTGTAATAAAGTTATTCATAATATCTTTTATCTTTTCTTTTTCCAATGTCTGCAGACTCTTCTGCTCTTCATTCTTGATATCGGTTAATTGTACTTTCTCTCTTTGTTTCTTGACGAGTTTCACCAGGGGTTTGTCAATACTTTTAGTCTTTTCACAAAAATAATTTTTGTTTTTGCTGATCCTATTTCATTACTTTCTGCTCTTTATCCTTCTTTTTGTTTTCTTTGGTTTACTTTTCTGCTGTTTTTCTAGCTCCTTGAGATAGGCATTTACTTATTACTTTCAGCCTTTCTCTTTTCTAATATAAGTATCAAAGGCCATCAAGTTCCCTTTAATTCCTGTTGTAGCTGTATCTCACAATTTTTAATATGTAATATTTCCATTCTCATTCAGTTAAAAATATCTTATAATTTCCATTATGATTTTTTTGATCCATCAGTTATTTAGAAATATACTTTTTAATTTCCAAACGTATGGGGCTTTTGAAGTTATCTTTTTATTGTTTATCTCTGGCTTATTTGTGTTGTGGTCAGAGAATGTACTCTATATGATTTCTGACTTTTGAAATTTTTTGAGATTTACTGTTTTTGTACATATACCATATGTCTTGAAAAGGAGAGTATTCTGCAATTGTAGCCACAGTGTTTCTATACAAGTCCATTAGTCAAGTTTCTAAACCATATCCTTACTGAATATATTTCTGCTTGTTCTACCAATACAGAGGGATGTGTTTTAAAATCTCCCACTATAATTGTGGACTTGTCTATTTTTCTGTATAGTTCACTTCTTCATGTTTCTTATATTTTAAGACTATGGTATTTGCAGACAAATTTGAAATTGTTCTATCTTTCTGGTGAATTGGACCATTTTCATTATAAAGTGACCTTCTTTATCTCTAGTGAGGTTTTCTGATTTTAAAATAACTTCACTGGCCTTCTTTTCGTTAGCCTTTGGATGGTATATTTTTTCCCACGTGTTTATTTTCATCCTTTCAGTACCCTTATGTTTTTGGAAATGTCTCTTGTGGATGTCTCTTATAAATTGCATGTAGTTGGATTTTTATCTAGTCTGATAATCTTTGTATTTTAATTATATTTAGTCCGGTTGCATTTATTGAATTATAGTACATCTGAATTTATATCTGTCATCTATTTGTCCCATCTATCTTTTATCTATTTTTCTGTCCATTCTTGCTTGTTTTAGGATTGATTGGGCTGATTTTCTCATTCTATTTTTTCCCCCTAATAATTTGGATAAATTTCTATTCTTTTAGTGTTTACCCTGGTAATGAAAATTTGCATTCCTAACTCATCAAAATCTATGTGTATTTGGTATCTATCTTCACTTCCCTCCTGTATATAAGGATCTTAGAACACTTTTAACTCCACTCACAATGGCAAGTTATATGCCATTGTTCTTGTAAGTTTTAATTCTATTTTTATCCAGAAGACAGTTATTGTTTTATATTATCATTGTTCATTGTTCTTCACTCTCTATTGCATCAGACGTCCCCTGTGATCATCTTCCTCCTGCTTGAAGTTCCTCCCTTGGAATTTCCTTTAGGGAGTGTCTGCTAGCAGCAAAGGCTGAGTTTTTGTCTTTGTAAATGTTATTATTTCACCTCGTTCTGGAAAGATATTTTCACTGGGTACATAATTCTTGACAGGAATTTTCATTGGGTATATAATTCTAAGATGACGGTTCTTTTCTCTGGGGACACTGGATATATCATTCCACTGCCTCTGGCTTCCGTTGCTCCTGACAAAAAGTCAAGTGTAAATCTATCATTTCTTTTTTCTGAGCGCCTTTGGACTTTATTCGGAGGGGAACTGGGAGGTATGGAAAGTTTTCAAGCACTAGAGTGACCCAGTCAGATCTGCATTTTAGAAAGCGCACGCTGGCACTCCGTGGACACTGGCTCAGAGGGGATGGCGGCTCAGGGAGAAGGTCGTTGCTGCAGTCCAGAGAAAGGACAGGGGTGTGGAGGGGGGAGGTCAGAGAGGCTGGGCTCAGGATCATCGGAGGGAGGCGGTGTGCGGTGGGAGCGGGATGGGGGACGGATGACTCGTGGTTCCCGGCGAGGATGAATGGAGGCGCCGTCGCGGAAACAGGATGGGGCTGGGGGTGGGTGGGGATGATGAGCTCGTCTCGGACCTCAAGATCCATTCCTTGCACGTATAGTCACGTGCCCAGTGCCCGGCGTGCGTGTGGGGGGCCTCGGGACGGCGTGGCAGCAAATTCCGCCCCGGTGTGCACGTGTACCCGCCGCCGCCACACCTGCCGAGGACTACTGTCTAGCCGGGCCCTCGAGGCAGCGCGCGCCTGCCCCGGGCGCCTCAGCACCGCCGCCGCCGGACGGACGGATGGATGGACGGAAGGATGGACACAGAGGCGCCTGCTCGGGACCGGCCTAACCGCGCCGCTCCGGAGCCGGATCTAGAGAGATCTCGGTCCCGGGACCCCCGACGGGGCGGGAAACCCGGCCGTCCCCGCCCTCGGGCAGCTGGAGGGCCCGCCCCCGGCCCCGGCCGCTCCTCTGTGGGAGGAGGGGCGAGCGGCCTCCGGCTCTGCCTGTTTCCTTATCTGCCCAACCCGGGCCACGCCGTTTCCGCCCTGCAGTCACCGGGGGCTTTTAGGAAACGCGTCTAGGTGTTAAGATCCGGTCTCGCCCCGGCGCCCAGCGGCGCCCGCGCCAAATAAGTCTCGCGCACCCACCGCTCGTGGAGCGGCGCGCGGCTCCCGGCACCCG